AGTCGAAACCATAATAAAACTACAGGGAGCCCAAAGGAACTCGTATACCTCGCGTGAGCAGATTCTGTTGTGCATACCTAGGGTTTGACCGTAGTATATAGTTGTTTAGTTTCGAGTGTGCTGTAAATATAGATTATTGGCACAGGCGACCGTAATCGTTAAACATCTGTTTGAAGCAGTGAAGTGGTAAGTTTGTCTCGATTGTGGCACAATCTGTTCGCGCATGCGCAAGATATTCTAATCCAGTACCAAGCCTATTGTTGAGCTAAAACATTGCAGATGCACAGTGAAAGATTTGGTATATAGCATGCTTACCTCCTCTGCAGAAGACTGTGTATATATTATATATAGTTATCAGAGCTCTTGGAGCAGAAAGAACCTGAAAGAGACAGTCATGATCCTCCATTTTCACTTTTCTAAAGACTTTTTCAAGTGGCAGAGAATAGGGTGGTAAATATATGATCTTTGATTGTGCATGCTGTAGAACCTAATGAACATGGTGAATTGAAGAGTTATCCATGATTCTGATGGAGTGAGGGTTGTTGCCATCACAGTGGTTTAACTGTCTTGGTAAAAAAAATTTTTCAAATGTTTGAGTTGTATTAGTTGTCCCTTCCACAACGTGTAGCTACATCTAGGACACTTTCCATCGACATCCCCAGGAAGGCAGAGTACTTTTTGCCTCAAACCACTGTAGTCTGTGGCATGGAGGAACACCTTTGAGCCAATAGCCATATTTACGCATGCTATTTCATAGGTCACAGCCTGTCTCATCAATCCAGAGAAACACTGCTATTTCAGACATAAATCTAGCTCGGCACATAATATGTGAGTGCTGTAATGCATTTCTTTGTCTGCTGCATCCAAAAATCTTGCAATGTCCACCAAACAAACATCAACTTCTAAGTGTTTCAGCTTTATTTATTTCACATATCCCTGGGTTATCCGTTAATTACAACCCTGAGAAGAACGAGCTCTCTTGCTCAAAAACGGATGTTGGAGCCCATGCCACACTCCTTTGGCTCTACATCACTAGTTGTATAAAAATACGCGGACTTACCGACTTCTGATGCGAGTAGAAAAGTAACCGAGACACTTCAGCAGTAGGTGCATGCTGGATTCGACAGAGCCATACAATTCTCCACCGAAGATCTACTGAATACGGTGGCAGCATCTTCCCACTTCTCCTACATGTTATGGTGCACCATGCGGGATCGGGTAGGCTCGCTTCGCTCGCACCACGGGTAGTTATTTTCCGCGCATGCGTCGAGACAAGCGCAGGCGCACTTCGAGGAGGAGGAGGGAGGCGGTTCATCCAGCATTAGCGTTCATGTCCACGGGTATGTCACATAATAATTGGCGAGCGGGAGCGAGCTCACTGCGCATGCGTTTGGACTACACGCTTGCTCTCGATCCTCGATGAGCGATCTAACCGGCCAGAGAACTCTAGTCCATTCGGCGGCATTCTCTGAGATCTTCGGTGCCTGACCGAAGTTCCAATCTTCGTGGTTCCAAGGTGCAAGTTGTAAGTAGGTCGTGCAGATACAGTTATTGTGTAAAGGCTAGGTTGGATCATGCATATACAAGTCATGTGTGCGATGGCTCTTGTAGATACAGTCATTGTGTATAGGCTAGGATGGCTCGGGCAGATACAGTGATTGGTGTGCTCGCTCCCGCTCGCCAAAAATGCCATGCATTCACACACTAGCAAGCGGTCTTTTTACGTAACGAGTGTTTGACTAACCTGGCATTGCTGTAGGTCAAGATGTATATCTGAACCAGAGTTTATGAATAATATAATTTCGCGTATACACTTCCGGCGGAACAAAATTAATATTCCGAGGGTTCAAATATTCCGTCCTGTGACATTTGAGCGTTTAGCCAGCCTTGTATAACCAACTATGGGCGAATGCATAGCATTTTTTGACGAGCGGGAGCGAGCACACAATGACTGTATCTGCACGAGCCATCCTAGCCAATTACAACTTGCGCCATTAGAAAGTAGTAAAGCCTCGGTCAGGCATCGAAGAGCGCAGCGAATGGTGCTAAATGAACGAATTATCTCAACTGCGTGTAAAAATTTTGCGAAGCCCGTAATCCTGACGCATGCGCAGTCGCACGACATACGGACGAAATATCGTCCCGTTCGGACCACTAGCTCCCCGCTCGCCAATAACCACACGGAAGTTGGTTTGGATATATTATACGCTCGCGAATATATACGCGGCGCGTACGGAGCGTCGTTCTATATCCCTTTCCGTCACTAAATTTACACACTTCTAGAAACGTCAAGACAATTGTGAACGGTGATAGACTCCTTAGGCACAACTCTGTATGTGAAATTTCCATTTTTCACTAAAGGACCGCCCGATCCGCTGCCTTTGGCTCCGCGAAAGGAGGTCCCTTCTCTCATCCCCGATCACATAGTCCGCCCTGTCTGACATCCTCTTCTTCTAATTGGGAACGCGGGTCACCAGCTGCTATGGATGTGACCGTCCGTTCCCCCCTTCAACCCCTCACCCTTCAAGGTGCTGCTTCCTCTGCTGGCCATGCCCTCGCTGTTGCAGAATTGGTCGCCTCCGAGGCCAGCATTTAGGGTCTCTCTCTCTCCTCCACTCCCGCGGACATCATCGTCACCTCTCCAGCGCTGCTCTCGTTTCCTCTCTGGCGTGGAAATGCCGCTCGTTGGCTCCATCGCTGCCCCATTGGCTCCTATTGAACAGCATCATTAATCTGTAGTTGTTTCGTTTGTGTTTTTTGTTTTGTTTTGTTTTTTGTTTTATTTGTTTTATTTTGTATATTTCTCCGCATAAAAATATAAATAAATAAAATTTAAAAAATTAAAAGTAAAACATTTTGAACTTTGACCCGGTAACCGGGCGGCATTATCCCACCCACGCATCCTCAGAAGTGGTCGATCGGCACTTGTAAGTGGCGGTCGGAGCTTTGATGTTGCTTTCATCTACCTTTCAGTACTCGAGTGAGGCATATCATAAATATCTCAGCAGACTGAAAGTCAGGCACAGAGACTGTGCGTAGTCTGTCAAAACGGCCAGAAAGAACATCGCCCAGCTGCGCGTGCGCGGGATGAGTGTGTGTGTCGATTTGGGCAGAATTACGCATGCGTACAGGAGATATGCTGAAAAACGCCGATCGGCGCAAAAGCAGAATTCATGACATATATTATGGTCATAGTGAAAAATACGTAAAATTGAAGAAAAATCCTTGGGTCACTCATGGGACCGATTTAATTAATTAAGTCACCATTTTTTATACGTAGATGATATTGACGTAAATCGCTGCAACATCTGATGTTGCTAATCTTTCTCCTTATTGGAACAAATGGCAAGTGGAAAAGTTGCTCAATTGCTCAAAAACCAAGAGAAGGAAGTTCCTCAAGACAACAGCAGGCATACTTGGTCCACCTTGCAGGCATGCCATTTTAAGGCAGGAACGAAGGATTATTCCGCCAGACTTTACTCTTCTTGGATGTTAACTAAAGATTATTGAAGAAGGACCTATGTGTAGCTATAATGGTCAGAGTGGTAAACATAATGCTTTCTTCCCTTCTGATGGTAGCTACAACATGGTTAATAGACCGTTCATTTATCAAAGATTACTCAATTGTTAGACAATTCACTTAGACGGAGCATTGACAATTTCAAGTCCTCCGTGTTCGTCGTCTTCCGCGGATATATACAGCGAGCTTGAAGTCGTCGCGGCGAGTTCTCTGCAACAGAGCGAGTTTCTCTGCGCGGAAGCTTGCCACACACCCGTAAAAGACGCGATTTTTGGCGGGCGTCTCCGTGGAAACACGCACTCGGGATTATTTTACGCAATCTGAGTCAATTTATTTATATTTTTACTCCAATTTTACCTTGCATCACTCATCACTATGTTTATTTCCTTTGGAAAATAAATTATGACTAATAGTCACATTGCAGTTTTATACGGGGGCGCATATTATTATTATTATTATTCGTTTGTCGCTCACTCACAGCCTGAGCAATCGTTTTACATACAGTGAAATGATAGAAACCAACCTGTCGGAGTAGCAGCCTGAGCAGCTAACAAAAACTCCGGCCAACAAAAAGTTGTAGTACAACTGCTTGCATTTTCTGAAACACAGTCTTCTGCAAAGCACAACTTCGCTGCGAAAGAGTGGAAGCATGTGAAGCTCTTGTATTATTTATGCAGCATGTTCATCATATATACTTTATGTGGTGCGCCAGTATCCTAACGGAGACTGCTTTAATTAATTAATAACCTGAAGCCCGCTAGCGTCACGTGTTTTAGAAGGCCGGCGCGCGGTGAAGCTCTTGCATTATTTGTGCAGCATTTTCATCATACTTCATGTGGTGCGCCAGTAACCAGGCAAGGAGACTGCCATAATTAACTGAAACCCGCGAGCGTCACGTGTTTAGAGACCGGCGCGGGCGGAGACTAACTATTGACGCATGCGGATCGTTTCCTAACAACCCAGGAATTCGTATATACATGCTTCTATTTCCTCCTCCTTTTAAAAGGAGTTATTTATACCCGGAATGAACTCGTGCAAGGTATAGCGGTCGGATTCTCTCTCTACCTCTGTTTTCTTTTCATTTATGTGTGCATTTTTTGGTTAAATAATGTTGAGGATATAGGTACATAGTCTTCATTGTTGAGCAGAGGGTCAGGGTTGCAGCTAGTAGCTTATGTGTCAAGCTTGGTCAAGGTAGGTAGCTCGAGGAGGTCGTAGTCTTGGGATTGTTGTAGACTTTGAGGAGTATGCAGGTGGGAATACGCGGGGAGCGTATCATATACACCGTCAGATTTGCCGGAGGTGAGGTGTGCACGCATATCAAGCGATCGCTTGTTTCTTGCCGCCAGTCACTACGGTAGATCGTTGAGCTCTTCCACGGTAGTCACTGGACAACGCCATTTGCTGCTAACTCAGCATCAGTGAGCCGCATGCGCCGAGGAGGGCGTTTCCCCAATGCGGTGCGCGCGCATTACAAGTTCGTGCGTGAACCAGGTCTACGAGACTAAGCCAGGATGCCTGCAGAGGAAACTCTTATCCTCCAGTGCCTTCTGTAAGTCAGTATACACATTTTTAACTGCTAGCTTACGTTTGCTGATGATTTGTACGAGGAGCAACTTGGCAGTGTGCGCCGTGTTACGCGGGCCTTGCCAGCGCCTTCATTGTTTGTCCCCCAGGTTATAGCTATCATTGTAGTCTGATTACTGAAGCCTGCCTACGATACCACCCCACCATATGTGCCACAACCTAATCGCATCGTTGTTGGAGACACTACGCATACACCCTACATTAGCTTCTGCTTTCAACAGTTATCTCTACAACACCCATGAACATCAGAGTGACTGAAAATGCAGAAGGCATGAAAAATAGTGGAAACAAGTGGAAAAATCATTTCTTCAAAATGAAGGGGTGATACAGGGATGGCTTGAAGCACCAAAAAGGAAGAAACAAGGGGTCATTACACAGCAAAGGTGCACCAAGCTACATGACACCATCCCTATATCTTTGTGTTATATATAGTTCACAAGTAAAGTTTACTATGAGACAAAGATATAGGGATGGTGTCATGTAGCTTGGTACATCATTGCTGTATAATGACCCCTTGTTTCTTCCTTTTTGGTGCTTCAAGCCATCCCTATATCACCCCTTCATTTTGAAGAAATGATTTTTCCACTTGTATATTATAAATCAGCACTGTTCCTCTATTAGCAAACGAAGAATTTAGCTGAGTTTGATTGTCAACTTCGGAAGTCAGGGTTCACAAATTTGTGACTGTGTAATACTATCCATACTACAGGGGTGACTAATTTGTGAACCCTGAAATTTTAGGGTGACAAATTTGTGAACTGCATGTTGGTACCTATTGTTGTAAAAAGTGCCCACCAATTGAAAGGTTCGCAAATTGTCATCCAGTTGCTTGAATTTTCAACATAAATCTGTTAAGATTCTCTCTAAATGACATGAAAGTGCTGAGTATTTCATGAAAATCGAAAATTGGAAAAGGTTATATATTAATTATTAATTTATTTATTACACACCAAAAAAGGTGCAAATGGAGTGAGGAACTGATGAAGAAGAAGGGCGGACCAGCGACCAGCTGGACTATGTCCCGTTGCCAATCAAGGGCCTAAGGGCTCCTGGACTGGCCACTGGCCCACTAAGAAAGAAAAAAGTGACAAACAACAAATAATAGGATAGGAAGGAAGGGAGGGCGACGAACATAGCAATGTATAAGTAAGATGATCAAATTGTGAACTGTGTAAGCCAAAATTCGGTCTGATGGACCTGATAAAAGAAGAAATATCCTTATCGGAATGAGTGTAATATTTTATATGACCATGACCATACATAGCATTGTAATCAAAAAAGTATATGCAAGTTGGGAGGACTGACGAAAAATGGGGGAAATAATTGGCGAATGGTGTAGCACACTTTTGGAACTAAAACAAATTAAAACGTTTAAAATTATGTTATAAATTGCTTGGACATTAGCAATACTATTAATAATAGAGGAGTGAGAGGCGATGGTAGATTCCAGACTTTCTTAGAATTTTGTTGAGAACAACTTGTAGAGCATTCATGCGACTTAGAGGAAAGAGACCAAAGCTGACAACCGTACAGTGATAAACAATAAGACATGTTTTCACAACAGGGTCAGCTGGATGGAACGTGCATAAAACGGAGTTGGCTTTTATAATTAAGATCTTTAATCACTCTAATAATATCAGGCTCGTCATTCAAATTATAGTTCAAGACATGACCAAGATGTTTGACTTCATCCGTACACTTCAGTTGTAAGTTCAGAAAATGAATTGTAGGCAGAAAGTTGCAGGATTTGGAATTTCTAAAACAGATCAGCTGAGTTTTATTAGCATTGAAAATCAAACCATGACCAGATGCGTATGAGCTGCAGGTGCTCAACATATTGTCTCAATGCAGAGGCACATGGTGCCAACAAAACAATGTCATCAGCATAAGCTAGAGCACCAACAAACAAGAACCCCAATAACAACCAACACAATTCAACCAAAAGCCCGTCCAAGTATACAGCAAACAAATATGGAGAGAGAACACCACCTTGCCGAACACCATTAGACACAATAAACCCCCAAGATAGATAAGAACCCCACCGGACTTTCATCTCTTGAGCACAGTACCAGGATGATAAGAATCGCAGGATCGGAGAAGGAAGACCCCTTTTTTCAGCATAACAAACAGTTTGGAGTGATCCACCACATCGAAGGCTTTACTGGCATCAAGAAAACACCCAAGAACCAAGGAGCCATTGTGAAGATACTACGAGACAATACACTTCACAACACCTGTACAGAGTGTGGTAGAAAATCGAGGCTTAAACCCAAACTGTAAAGGGTGACTGACAAAGAAAGAAGAGTACTGATCTAAAATGATACGTTCCAAAACCTTGCTCAAAAAAGAGGCAAGAGATATTGGTCGGTAACTATCACTAGACGAAGGATCTTTGCAGCTTTTAGGAATGGGGATTAACACACAATCACGAAAGCATTTAGGCATATAACCATGGCAAAGAATAGTGGAGAAAAGAGAGGCAAGTGAATCAGCAATAGAAGGGGCTGCAAACTTCAAGTGATTGGAGGACACATGATCAAAGTCAGTCTTGCCAGACTGAAGGGAGTGAATAGCACTAAGGACGTCCTCATCTGACACAATCACTTCAGAAATCTGGGAATCAGACAACGAGGAATCAAGAAGAACATTCAAGTCATCAGAAGATATACCAGAGTGAGTATTCAACAGAGAGTGTAACTTAGAGGCCATCAGATTTGCAATATTATTCACACCAGCAACACCATCAACAACAGGAACAGGATTAATTTTGCTTTTGGAATTACTAAGAGAACTGACAACTGACCAAAAGTTACGAGATCTTTTCCCACAAAAAGTATCAGCAAGTTTTGACCGTAAAAGGTGCTGTTGTCTGCGGTTTAGACAACACACACCATGCTTGAATCGCCTTTTAGCATTTCTTTTGATCTGGGAGAGGACACCAGCAGAAGGATAACCAGCCTCTTTCCAGACTCTATAGAAGTCTCTTCAACAATAAGACTCCATGATCACTCCAACCAACAAGCTAACGATGATTAGTGGAATGACGAGAAGGAGTACAGTGGGAAGCACAAGATAAAATTGTTGTCACAAGATGCTTGGCATATCCGTCAAGATAATTATAGTGACAAGAGCAGCTAGCAGATAAACAGCCCGCAACACAAGATTGAAATGGAGCAAGCTTCTCAAGAATGAGACTGAAAGTTTTCAATATTTGTAGGGGAAACATTGGACCAATCTGGAATGCAGTAATTACTATTATTGGGGGATGTATAAACTGGCACTGAAGCACAGTCAAGGTGCAGCAAAAATGAGAGAGGCACATGGTCAGAAAGAATAGAGCCCATCCCCATAGATTCAACCGAGGAGATCATAGAGACAAACTCTTGAGAGCAAAGAACATGATCAATCCAGGACCGACATGAGCCATCATCACGCTCATAGGTGAAACTCACTGCACTCCGGTAAGACAAATCAGAAGCAACAAGATGGTTGTCAGCCATAAAAACAAGTAACAAAGAAGCAAGTGGACCACGTCTGTCAAAATCAACATTGAAGTCACCAATGATTATCAACACATAATTCTGAACATCAAGAAAACCTTGCAACTCCCCAATGGTGTTCAAGTAATCTAGATGTGAAGATGAATTGATATATCCTGGCATATAAACGCACACAACCAAATATGAGATTGCATTAGAGTCCACAATTTTAACAGTATAGAAACGGCTAGAACATGTTACAACAGGGGAAACACTAGAAAGCAATGATTTGCGATACAAAATAGAGCAGCCACCAAAAGGACGCCCAACAAGCAATGACTCAGAATCCATTCCACTCACACTAACAGAACAAAAACCATGACTTATCTCATTGATAGTGATTATGATGCAATCAATGCTCTTGAATAAAAACCAAATCAAAACATCACGCAAAAATAGTGAACCACTATTCCAACCTCTGCAATTGTAGGAACAACAACGAATCAGAGCCACTATTGTGAATCTAGGCCCTCAACAATGGTAGAAGTGGAGGAAGAGGAAGAAGCTGAATCAACAGACGACGAACGCCAGAGTCGATCACAAGAAGAGCTGAGAGAATGCAAGGGTACACTAGAACTAGTAGCAATATGAGGGTGGGGGACTGTAGAAGACTGCACTGTGGAAGATAACTTGGGTGCTGGTGCAGAAACTGAAGGCTGTGATTGGCTTAGGCTGGTCAAAACAGCTGAAGCAGCAGCAGAATTTACAAGAAGCTGCAGATCATCCGCAGGGGGTTTAGCCCTAACAATTGAGCTACGCTGGCGCAATCGATGCTCTGGTAGAACATCAGCTCTCCAAAACAAATGTTTCAGCCTGAAGTCCTGCAAATTCCTTTTGTGTAGTAATACAACTTTATGGTCCAATGTTGTAGCCAGTTTGATGAGAACAAGACGAGGATGAGCGCCAGAGCTAGGAGAGAGGATGCACTTACCCAAGCGAAACAAGTCCTTTATCTGAACTGGTCTTTCAGTTAGAACTCCAGCATCTCATCCACTATCATCTTCAAGTCGAGGATGGACTGTGACTCAGGGAGACCAAACAAGATCATTTTTCACTGTAGAAGAAAAGGAAGACAAGAAGAAAGATAGTTTACCCACCAAACCCTGCACAGTGGCAGCCAAAGCAGTCAGTGACTCAGAGTTCAGATGGACCTGTTCAGCCACAGGATCCAAGGAGAGGGGAGGCAACCTAACAAGATCAGAAGCTTCACAAAACATCGGGTGTGCTGTCAGCGATATTGCAGCATAAGTAACCGAAAGAGCAAAAAAAATGTTGACAGTATGAGTGTAATTTAGATAATTATTTTCTGGTCTGGTCGCAATCAAGGCAGACAATTTGTATTGGTCTATTCCTATTGATAACTATCACAGTCAGTAAGTGCTGGTGTTCATGCAAAATTTAATGATGTAGAATCAGGTCACAAGCATCCAGCGCATCAAAAGCACAAGAATATCATCCAGATTGGCTGTGAGTTGAGTACGATTCTCAGAGTCCTGACGTACCTGGATGGGTAAATTAGCACCTCAAGTGACTGATTGCATGAGTCCCAGAGTAACCGCTTAGCAGTTTCCACAGCTGCACTACTGAAGCGATCTCTAACGACTCTCCTGAGGAGTCAGAATCACCCTTGAGACGAAAAGTTTTGATGAAACACAAGACAGGGTCAACCACAACGAACAGTTCGTACCTACACAGTTGTTCTGCCTGTAGAAGGTGACAGAGAAACATCAACTAAACATGGCTGTGTGTTGCCTTGCACATCACCACAAGTTTTTCCGCCACCAGGCATAACAGGGGAGGGCGTTGGGTTGCAAACATTGTGAGCCCTGTGATGGCTGAGTTGACAAGTTAAACTCGGACAAAGGCCTGCCAAGATGAAGTAGAGACTTTTTCCATTTCTTTGCCTTTTTGCCGGCTAGGGATTCAACTTCAATAGGAATGAGCCACCTGCCCCCTACCAACATACATTTTCCTTGAGATCTCTTAGACTTATCAAGTTTTGAAAGAAACAGCTGACCAGAAATGCTACCATACGTGATAGCAATATAAGCGCCCTGAGGATCGTCTAACCGAGTAGGCTGACGCTTCAAACCAGACCTAGCCTCACCACTAGTCGACAATTTTAAACATTTGTCGTAAGCAAAGCCTAAATTTTTCATAATTGATGATGACATAGCTACTGCACTGCTTTGTTTTTGCACATTTGTGTACAGATCAATGTAGCTAACACATAATTGTGTTTTGTTCAACTCAGACCATAGTGCGTAACAACAGCACAATCTGAACACAGCACACTATTGCACACGCCAGGATTTAGAAGTCTGTTGATAGTGCACACGGCAAAAGAGAACATTAACAAGTGGAAAAATCATTTCTTCAAAATGAAGGGGAATATAGGGATGGGTTGAAGCACAAAAAAGGAAGAAACAAGGGGTCATTACACAGCAACACATGACACCATCCCTATATCTTTGTCTCGTATTAAACTTTGCTCATGAACAATAAAACAAAGATATAGGAATGGTGTCATGTGGCTTTGTGCATATTTGGTGTGTAATGACGCCTTGTTCCTTCCTTTTTGGTGCTTCAAGCCATCCCTATATCCCCCTTCATTTTGAAGAAATGAATTTCCACTTGTTTCCACTATTTTTAATGGCTTATGACAACACTGCATTTTCAGTCACTGCTGAGATAACTGTTGAAAGCTGAAGCTAATGGACTGCTCTTAATTTTTTGGAATTACCAATAAAAGGTTAGATCTCACAAAAACGGAAATCGTGCTGCAGGCATCTAATATAAGGCAAGAAGAACGAGGAGAAATTTTTATAGCTTCATCCGGCGCGTGTGTTAGAAGAAACAAGCCGAAAACTGCTTTTCGCCTATTTGCGCTTTCGTGAGCAAAAATAGCGAAGACAAAAAAGGGCCATTTGTGGGTCGCTGCATAGCCAAAAGGTACAGCTATCAATCGAGCATACACTCGCTTGGATCATTCATACTGTTCCCGTTTTGGGAGACTGTCCTACCTTTGATGGCCTTGTCCGAACTTTGCTGTGCCCGAATCGTAACTTTACGGCAACGTCATTCCCACGGTAAAGCTCGGATAAGAGCGAATATTTTTATACAACAGTTTATGACAAAGAACTACACTTTGGTATACACAGTAGCCAATCTAGTCCTGCACAGACTTCACAAATGCGTCCGAGAATACATGGCGTCCGATTATCGGTGGCTTACTCTAAGTGCGCATGCGCAGCTTCGTTACGCGCTTCCACTGTCTCGCGATAAGCGCCGATCAATCGATCTAGCCAGCGATTCGACGGCATTCGCGGCAATCTTCGGTGACTGACCGAGGCTGTATAATATGCATCTTCCCAATCTTCATCGTTCGAAGGTGCAACTTGGAAATAAGTACGGTTCTGCTTACCTGCTCACCGTTCTGGCAATATACAGTACGCATGTAACGGCGACAGGTAGCTCTGTCATGCTTCACGAAAGTAAAGCTGTGCGCTGACGGCACGCTATGCAGCCCGAACATCGCGGGCAAATCCCAAGTTGGGTCGCTCCCGCTCGCCAACAATGTTCACATTTCCACTAGTAAGATTAGCTGTGAGTTGCTTGGCTGGTGGGGCTCTGAAATGTTTTCTTATCACCCCTGCTGACTTGTACATTCCTGCACCCTTAACCCACCTCCTAGCCTTTGTTGCACTACCAACTCCTATTGTAAGCCTACTCCTTACTTTGTCTGGCTACTCCTCTGTATTATACTTTGTGTTCCACTTGATGGTGCATACTATCTATTATGTTCAAAGGGGTAGGACTGCAATTTCACTTGTCAAGCTGGACCCTGAACCCCACCAACTTCTGGCTTCTACTGCCCGCTTGCTATCTAGCTATATACCCCTGATTTGGCCTCCACCTTCGACTTCAGATGGATATATATAAACCTCTCCTAAAGAAAAAAACTTCCTTCACAATTCACAACAAAGCATATTGTATAATGAATGTTGGGTACTTACGCATGCGCCGACTAGTCTCTCGTGCAAGAATCAAGAATCGCACAAAAGTGTCAAATTTGCAAACTACGTTACGCCCATCACCCCTGCCCCCACAATTCACTGCGAGTGTGTGCGATCATCATCTCTGCAAATCTTGTGCAATGCATAAATCTCCACCCACATGTGCGTGAACCCTAATGCGTGCAGTCCCTCGCTCGCTGCTCTGCACCGCAAAAGGGTGGGGCTGAGCATGTGCTAAAAAACTAAGTGGAACAAGTGGAAAAATCATTTCTTCAAATGAAGGGGGAAGGGGGATGTTAAGATGCTTCAGCTGAAAAAACAAACATCATACATCCATCCCTACATCTTTATTTAACTCACAACCTAAACTGTGATTTGTTATGAATTAGTTTACCTACGCCAATAACGAGTGCCTACACATTCTTAGACAGAGCTAAAGAAAGGGTGGACGTATGATGTTTGTTTTCAGCTGAAGCATCTTTCTTGTTGGTATCCTTTTTCATAATTTACGCCATCCCTACATCCCCGAAATGATTTTTCCACTAGTAAGTTTTGATGCAAAAAATAATTAGTAAGAAAAGTAAGTGCTGTATTTAATCAGCATGTGGATTTTCAAGCATCTCAAAATCTTCATCAGTGGTGGATAGTTCTTGACTCTGTGTAACAGAGCCATTTATCTGTGGAGAGGTGGGAAGTTCCTTGTTTGAGGTACTCTCGCCCAGGCTGAGGTCCAGCACAGATTCTGTGTTAGAGTTCTGTTGTCTTTTTCCTGTGGGGCTTGAGACTCCAGAGCTTGGAGGTGGCATAGCCATTATTTCCTCCTCTTCTTCATCTTCTTCTTGGATCGCGTGTAGATTTTGTATGGTCCCCTCCATTGGGTTCATCTCAATGGAGCTGACGGATTCGTTCCCAATGCTAGGTGTCTCAGAGGCACGACCACTCACGGAGCTCAAAATGCTGGGAGTGGCTGAAGGGCAACGGAGGTAGATGGAACCCATAGATATAGGTCTCGGAGTGGTGCTCGATGCTAAAGTTGTTCTGGTTCTGATTCCACTGGTTGAGAAAGCAGGTGTCTTCTGTTGACTGATTGTAGAGGTGAACCAGGGCAGTTTGCGTCCACGACATAGCAGCTGCAACCATGACTCGCGTGCTTCTTTTCCCAACACACAGAAGAAGAGGAATATGAAGAAGCCTTGGAGTGAGGTGAATATCGCAAAGAGATACTGGAACACCATTGAAGCAGCCGATATTGTGAGTGCACCAAAAGCCCACGACAAACCAAACAGGAACATGATCCCAAAGCTACTGATGAGCATTTGTCTGACAGTATTGACCACCTTCACATCCCGGTTGCCATACTTTTTCCTGGAGTGCTTAAACAGCACTCTGATCACAAACACAAACACAGTAGCGTTGAAGACTAGGATGGCCACAATGGGCACCAGGAAGGCACCAAACAGCACTCCAGGCTCTCCAATGAAACAACTGAAATAAAAGCATGATCACTAGCAATGCCACGTAGGTATTAGCTACTTACAAATCAGGCTCTTTTCCAACAGTGACGTTTGGAGCTAAGGTTGGTACTTGGCGGTAAGACACCATGAACCGTGGGTTAATCGAGACAGAGATTATCACAGGGAGTAGAGGAGCCACTGCAGTTCCAACAAGAATGTGCATTTCTGTGAGCACAATCATCAACTATACTTACACCAACAGACAAGAGAGACCATGACGATGTAGCGAGTGGTGATCTGGACAAAGACAATGACCAGCTTCTGGAACATGAGCAGAGCCTCAGCCCCCATCCACATGACAGCCACCAGAGTGAAGTAGTGGATGAGCACCGAGACTGTCACACAGCCCTCAAACACTTTAGTCCTATCGATGCCCACCACAAACACCACCAGCATGCCCAGTAGAGCTAGACTCAGCTGTATGTGGAACTTTGAGGCATCTCGTTTTCGAAGTTGACTTAGTGGAGATAAATAAAAAATTAAAACTTCAAAACACAGATCATGTGAGCAGTTACCTGAAAACCAGCATTGTAATTATGGTAATTATGAGCCCAAAGATTGAGAGAGAAACACCGATGTAGGAAATGATCTCAAGAGCTGTCTTAGAAGCTTCAGATTGTTCACAGTCGCCCTCAGTTCTGGAACATACATCCTGAAGTGGGGGGTTGAGGGTGTAGCTACAGAGACTACAAAATGTATATTTACTCACGACTAATGCAGCAAAGTTTGTTAGATGATTGCAGTTGCATTTAATCGGTTCTGGACACCTTATCCAGGTTTGTGTTGCATCCTCTATTTGTCCAGTTCCCTACACCACCTGTGTAATATTGGAAGTAACTCACCAACGTTCATAAGAGCTGCACATAATAGTAAAACAAACCCGAAGCTTCAAAATCCCAGCTGACACATGCTGCATTTTCAACCACTTCATCCTCCTAAATGTTTGCAGTAAGTTTTCTGAACTTCATTTCTTAAACACAGCTCACTGTATCGATTTCCAACTGAAAGGTGATTATAATGGGGTCCAGAAGGTCTGATGTGGTAGGTATACCACCAATCAGTGCGCCAATAACTGAAGTACGAATCTGTAGGTCTGCACGAGTCCCATTGGTCAGAGGAAAGAGGACAGGGGTCTCGAAGAAAGAAAACACCAATCCAACCCCGCCACCGACAGGGTTGTTAGTGACTCTGTCGTTACTAAACAAGCTCTCCGGGAGCTGAATTGAAGCCAGGACACCATCAGTCACCCCTGACGTTGTGTTAATGCCTACATGGTGGGGTATTCTGAATCATGGTCTCACAGAACATCATGCGCCATTTGTACCATTGTCATCTCTTGTGGCACTAAATTCTCTTCCACTTGTTTGGAGCTGCTCTATGTTGTTCTTTTAAACAGAAGATCGTCACACATCAGTTGAGTTAAAAGTCAACACTTACTCTTTCCACAAGTAGGGCAGATGTATTGCCCTCAAAAAGTAAAACTGTAACTTTTTCTTCGGTTCCAATCTCTTCATTTACGGCCAGAGAATTTGCCACATTTTCTAACACTTCAACCACACTATAACAGGTAAAAAACAGAATATATAGACCATTTTCTCTTCCCTCTAAGCTTAGCAAAGCGTACTTTATGTTATTTGTCATCTGAATTTCGTCCTCCTCCCAGACTTGTAGATCATCTACTATACTTGACACCGACTTAACAACCTTGAAAGAATGACCATGTGGTGTTAATCACATGCCACATAAGCCACCTCACTACTTTTATACATATTATGTACCTGTCTCAGATTTGTATCATTGAGGGTAGCGTTGTTGACAATGCTACTGGTGGCGTTGAGTACATTTGTAATCACTTCAAAGTTTCTGCGAGATTGGTCAATGGTGTCGACTGTCATTTTCACCAGTGCTGCGAATTCCTTCAACATTACGACAAGATTTTCCTCCACTAAATTCTCCTGCAGATACATGAGCAATTTAGAGGAGAGTTAATAATTACCATACTCACCACTTTGAATACTTGATACATCATTGTGATCTTGGTGTAGCAATGACTACTATAGTCTATGATGTCACTCCACTGTCTCCCCTCCCGAGACAAACAGTCTCGTCGGGCATATGAGTTGGGTGGTCCAAAGGCACATTGTACTTGATGTGGGTCTCCGACACTGGTTTCCAGCCATGTGTGTCCTCCAAACTGCTCGTTAGTTGTGGAATCATTATCGCAGAACCCGTTGTCTAGGATTGGTATATAGCTACCAGCTGCTATATGTGATATAGCTACGCACAGTGCTCACCTGCTTCAATGATGATTTCGCTGGCTGAAATGATACCTTTATTCACTAGAACCACCTTCAATTTAGCAGAGTCCAGTGATTGGCTGCTGTTGTAGTTGTTGAATATACATTCAATTAGCTCGTTTTCAAGTCTAGAGTACATAGTTATGCAAGATGAATGTTAGCCCATAGATATTCATTGATACCTTGTGCAATTGAATTCTTGATAGCCTTCTTTTTCCACATCTATTGATGACAAAGCCTAAATACAGAAGGAAATTGCGTAAAATGTAGTTTGTAGTACACCACAAAGACTGTTGTTTTACTTACCACACTGCTGATGAGCATATTAGACGGTATGGGCTCCAAACTGCCATTGATTGAAAATCGAACATAACTCGATACAGTAGGACCTTCCAGAGCTAATATGTGTGCAAGACAGAGAAACTAATGCAAATTGTTACGATCAAATTTTAACAAGGAACCTGGTATTTCAAGAGTAACTTGTATTGAAGCAGAAGCATCTTCATTGTTGTTGGTCGCAGTACAGATATAGTCGAATGTTCCGCTTGCTATCCCATGGATACCCACTACCAGACTTTGTCTGGAGAAGCCAAGACCTTCACTCAGAGGGATGGGCACATCTCCATAAGGAACACCACTCTCGGATTCCTCAAGGGGGACTTGACTCCCACCTGTAGTAGGGAGTGTTGTTGTGACATGCTTTAAAGATTTTTTTCTTAGACTCTACCTTGTTTGGTCCACTTGACATTACCAGCATGCTCTCCCTCTGATTGACATGTTAGATTCAATGACCGGCCAGGTTCCACGTCGAGAGAAACATCGTTATTTCCATGTCCTAATATGTCCAGCCGCGGTGGGATACCTAAACAAAGATATTTAATTTAGATTCCAACATACACGAAGTATATTTCATCATCTTACCCATGCAATGAAAAGCACTAAAGTGCAAACCATCGGCAAACTGCTGGGCTATTTGTATGCGTTTACTCGTGGCCTCCCGCTGGACACGGGCTAGCTACAGTAGATTAGATAGCATGCGTGAGTCAATACATGCGTTGTGACTTCCTGAACCCCCATCAAGGTACACAGAGTGAGCGGATCAGGTCGCAGTAAGCCCAGTGCGATTATGCAAATTGGCTTTTTCGCTTGTTTTCACGGCATATCTCTCGAACGCAGTCATTTCAGGTTATTTCTCAGGCAAGATCTGAACAAATTTAAAGCCCTTAGTTTTTTTTTACCATCATTGTCCAGAATGGTGATATTTGCTGATGGAAAAGCACCAACATTGATGTTAGGATCAGAGCTTGTCAAGGCAATCTGGAATATTTCCGCAGTTTCCAAAGTGTCATCTTCAATAGTTGTCACATTCTCGCAGAGAGCATCATCAGATGTGAATGTCAATACTCTATCCAATGGAATGTAATCTGATGTTGCTGTGTATGTATTTTGAGAGACGAAATAATATCATTCTATGAGAGATTTCTATCGATTTTACCTGTTGCAGAATCACTGAATGTGGTCAGGGTGACCTCAACATTTCTTTCAACGTCGCTAGAGAGACTGACACAGACTAATACTGACAATCCCTCGTCCACTTCGTATGAACTGCCTTGCAAAGACACCTCCACAGCTGTGAAAGAAAGAAAGGGTCTAAGCTGGAAATTGAGTGTGGGGATAACTTACAATCGTCGTCTGAAATAATGATAGAGGCCACGCCAACTGCTCCAACAATGACCTGAGGGTCAGAACTTGATAGAGTGATACTGAATGTCTCTGTATCTTCTAGTACACTGTCATCGTAAATTTCCACGTCCACACAAAGCAAGACATTTGAATTGAATGTGAGAGTTTGGACCACCGGAACAAAATCTGTCATTGCTGTGTGTACAAAAGAATAAGTGCTACAAGTTGAGTTGAGAGCCAATAATAGTTTACCCATTGCAGAATCGCTGGGTAAGGTTTCCAGAGTAGCAAGTACTGTTCTGTCAATGACGTCAGACTCGGAGAAATTGGCACAGACCCTCACCGATATCTCTCCTTCGGTCACACGGTACTCTGACTTCTCCAACGTTAGCGATACAACTAACAACACAAAGAAATGTATAATACCTTCTCCAAGAGTGGTTCAAACCTGAGAGATCAGTGATGGCTACAGTTGCTTGGTTCGGAATGACAATTGCGCGTGTATAATTAGGACCGCTCAGGAGAACCGAAAAAGTTTCCTCCCCCTCCAGATCACTGTCAGAAGATGCATTCAGCTCCACACACACTCCGGGAAAATCACTAGTTAATGACAGCGTTTGTACTAAAGCCGAGAAATCCCTTCCAGCTGGAAATAATAAAATGCCTTAAATTTAGTCCAGTTTAGGTTTTAGTTCCAAACTTTTACCTC